GTAATCCCAGCATTTTAGGAGGCCAATGCAGGTGGATCGCTTTAGGCCAGGAGTTCGAGACCAGCCGGCCCAACATGGTGAGACCCTGTCTCTACTAAAAATACAAAATTAGCTGGGCATGGTGGTGGACACCTGTAATTATAGCTACTCAGGAGGCTGAGGCAGGAGAATCACCTGAACCCGAGAGGCTGAGGTTACAGTGAGACAAGATTGTTCCACTGCACTCCAGCCTGTGCAACAGAGCAAGACTGTGTCTCAAAAATACATATATATATACGTATCTTTGAAAATCATAATTTTTTAAAAGGTAATTTCACCACTAAACCATGAGGCAAGGGAATAGTTTACCTTTTTCTAGACTCTCATTAACTTTTCTCTAGGTCCTCACTGATTGCTCCAGGGCAGAAGAAAAGGGCTCAGAGCACAGCGGAAATTTTCAGAGTCTTCTAAAGGGTTTTGAGGACAAGATTTCTAGTCTCTCTCTATAGGAGTGGGTTACACTCCAGCAAGAGATCCTAGATTTCACTAATTTTCCATTCAGTGCTTGTTTCTTGGGTGCCTTCTATGCGGGAGACCCCACAGGAGGAGCTGGAGAGGAATGCACAGGCCCCACGCTGGGAGCTGATGGCAGACAGGCCTGATGACACTGACTGCTGAGGGCTGCTGAGAGCCAGGAACAGTGCCAGGCGTGCTGCCCACCTCATCTCCCCACAGCCCTGCAGGCTCCATGTCCGTGACCCTGTCTCAGTTGGCAAGTGGGGAAACTGAGGACTGGGGAGGCAGAGCGGCCACTTGCCCTCCCAGAGACTTCTCAGGTCCACACTTCCCCTGGGCATGCTCTGCTCCAGAGTGAAGACAGCCCACAGGACAGCATGGAGCTGAGGGTGCCCTGGGCTGCAGGAAGGACGTAATGACAGGATGGCACCCGGAGGAGGCAGCACCTGACTTGTGCCAAGAGAAATTATACCACTTCCCAATTCAAATATGCTACTGTTGGCAAGACTTCACCCAGAGGAGATTCGGCCAAATAGACATTAACAGATCTGCATTTCAAAAGTAGCCTTCATCATCACCCCGCAGTAATGAACAAGCTGAGTCAAAAGAACTGAGCGACTCTGGCATCATGGAAAGACTGTCTTGGGAGGAAGGGACTGGGCCAGCAGATTTATGCAGCGTGGGGACAAGTCTGCCTTATTTGGCAGAACGCAGCAGAGTTCACGTCAATTTGAATAACTTGTTTACCCGGTGATTATGTGATTAATGAACACCAAAAGGCTCATTGCATCAAACTGAACTTTGAAATGGCTAGTGTATTTCCGGACCTGGTTGTAGTCACCATTGCAGTACAAAAAGTAAATCAATGGAAATTATTTCCTGGGGAAAACAATGTGATACATAGGCTAATTAATAGGCTTGGGTGTTTTTAAACTCCCCGCTCCATCCCTGGAAACAAGAGCCATGAGAAATCATTATTTCAAGGTTGGCCTGAGAAGTGTTTTTTTTGTTTTTTGTGTTTTTTTGGAGACGGAGTCTTGCTCTGTCACCCAAGCTGAAGTTCAATGGTGCGATCTTGGCTCACTGCAACCTCTGCCTCCCAGGTTCAAGCAATTCTCCTGCCTCAGCCTCCTGAGTAGCTGGGATTACAGGCGTGCGCCACCACGCCCAGATAATTTTTGTATTTTTAGTAGGGATGGGGTTTCGCTATGTCAGTCAGGCTGGTCTCGAACTCCTGACCTTGTGATCCACCTGCCTTGCCCTCCCAAGTGCTGGGATTATAGGCGTGAGCCACCATGCCCAGCCAGAAGTGGTTTTTTGTTTGATGTTGTTTGTTTTTAAAGCAAAACTTAACGGTAGAAATCCTTGTTTTTTCAAACAAGAAATGGGTGCTTTCCTGGCTTTCCAGGCCCTGTGGACCCTTCCTGCTGGTGCAAATGCCCCTCCCTGTAGTCCTCCTCCCTCAGCAAGAGGCTTGCCTCCTGTCCTTTGCGCATGTGAATTGCAGCTCCTGCCACCTCGGCTCCCCTCTCCGGCCTCCCACCTGCCATTTTCCCTGCCTGATGCCCACAGCTCCAGCATCACCTCCCTGCAGCCTGTAGCTCTTCCCTGTAGTGGCATCGGGCATCCTTCTGACCTCCTGCAGCAGACAGGAAAGAGCAGACCAGAGAATGTGAAGCCAGGAGGGAAGGTTAGGAAGGATATCGCCCAGTCCTCGTTTTATAAATGAGCAAACTGGGGCTCAGTGAGGTTGAAGGTTTCATTCAAGGTGACGTAAGGAAAACCAGCCGCAGCCCTGGGTGGTGACTGCAGTTGAAGGGCTTGGATGCCCAGCGGCCTGCACACTACCACAGCTCCAGTCCACCTCAGGTGCTGGGTGCTCTTCCAGAAGTTACCTGAGTGCGCCTTGCCCATTTCCTCACCTGTACACTGAGACAATGATCACATCTATCATGGAAAGCTATGGGAGGTTAGAACAGAACAGACATGCAGTGCCTGCCGGTGCTGTCTGATCTGTCCCCTGGTGCTGTTTCCTCTACTGCATCTCCCTCAGATTCTCCCATGTCATTGTCACTGTGGGAAAAGGAGACAAGAGCCCAGTAGACAAGCAGAAAGCAAGCCCAGGCCTGCAGATGGGCAGGCTGGCCAGGTACACATCCCTGGGACCAGCGCTCATTACTTCTCTAGATGAGTCAACCCACATGCATGGAGGTTAAGTGGCTGGCCATGTCCACGGCCACACAGGCCCAGTGGCAGAGACAAGAGGGGTTGGAGGTAGAGGACCCAATCTCATGGCTTCAACATCAGGCCTGGCCCTGAGTGACAGCTCTGGAGGGACCTGTCTGCATCGGTTAGGGTTCTCCAGATGCACAGAACCCACAGGCTATACAAAGAGATATATTGCAGGGGATTGGCCCACACGAAATGGAGTCTAAACAGATCCACCATTTGCTCTCTAGGTGCCGGGGACCCAGGTGGTGATGTTCTACTCCAAACTCGAAGGCCTGAGAACTGGGAGAACCAATGGTGTAAATTCTGGTCCAAGTCTGAAGGCTAGAGACCCAGGAGTTGTGGTGTCCCAGCTTAAGGGGAGAGAATGAATCCCCTTCCTCTGCTTTCTTGTTCTATTCAGGTCCTCAATGGATTGGAGGGTGCCTGTCCACATTGGGGAGGACAGTCTTCTTTACTCAGCCCAATGGTGAGATGTTAATCCTTCCAAGAGACACCCTACAGACGCCCAGAAATAATGCATAACCAGCCATCGAGGCAGCCCTGAGCCCAGTCAAGTTGGCACAAAATTAAGCGTCACACCATCTTTGACCAGGGTCCCAGGCCCACATGGGAGAGCAGGCTGTGGCTCTGGAATCCTGCAACTGCTGGGGATGCAGGGAGGGAGTCAGCAGGGCTGGGGGTCACAGGGCTGGCCATGGTCCTCTACCATCCCTGGCCCCAGGTCTGTGGGCTTCAAAACTGTTGTGCTCCTGCTCAACCGATATAGCGCCTGAGGGAGGCTCCAGGGATGTGTGTGTACCCTTTCAGTGTTCATCTCGTGTGTGTGTGTGTGTGCGCGCACGGAGAACCAGCTTGACTGTGGAAACCCCCACCCATGCAGCACTGAAGGAACTGAGAGACACACAGATAGGACAAAAAAGTGGGACTATCGGGGGCCAACAGCCTTCGGAGCTGAAAGTCTCAGGGGCTGACCGCATTGCAGGCTGTGGGCGGAGAGCAGACTCTGACCCACGCGTGTATTATCTCTCAACAGGTGATGATCATTAACAAACAGATGTTCGGCATTTTCTCATAACACAAAAATATACCAGGCAGGCAGCTGGTGACCGCTTACCAGTGATTACAAACAAGCCAAAAAGGATTCTCCACGAGGGAGCCACAGGGGCAGGGTCAGACGTCCTGCGCTTAAAGAATTGTTTTAACCAGTGTTTAATATGTACTGTCCTGCCACTTCAGAATGCCCCAAATAGTTTTCCACTCTGGCGGTGGGTGGAGAGCTAGGTTTCCTTGCACCGTTCTTCCTAGTAAACAACATATTCTGTCATACACTCATTTCTCAACATGTGTGTGCACACTTTCAGTGTTCACCATCTTCCCTCCCCGTCTAGGGTCAGCAGTGCCTGACTGCCACGTGGGCTTACCATGCCACCCTGGAGGAAAGGGAGAGAGAACAGCCGAGCCCACACCTGGCAGCACTGTCCCTCTCCACGGTGGAGGATGCAGGCTCTAGTGGTCCAGCGACTCACTCAGGTCAAACGGCTGGGCAGCCCAGGGAAACGGCTGATGCTGCTCATGCCCCCCCACATCCCTCAACACAGGCTGCCCAGACCCCAGAGCACCCTCAAGGGCCAGGGCAGCTAAAGCTCTGACCAGGGAAGGGTGTTCTCTGCCACTTCCCCCATCTTAGGAGCCCAGAAAGGCAAAGATTTGGAGCCCCCACAGTGGCCAGAGGACAAAACACTCACATACCCAAGCAGCCTGCCCTCCTGCCCTTTACAACCCCCCCAACCTGTGGCCTGGGGGGCCTCCCCCAGCACACAGGCTGGAAAACGGGAGGAACCAGGAGAGGTCACTTCCCCTCCTAAACTGCCTCCAGCCCTGTGAACAGGGTCTGGGGTGACAATTCAGTGGCTCTGTAAGAGGCTCCAGGTGGGAGCCCAGTGAACACAGGGCTTCCCAAAGGAAGTGTGAGTGGCTTTCCCTGAAAACAAAGGGTCCCTGGCCACCCCCAAACACACACACACACACACACACACACACACACACACACACACACATATACACACACAGCCAACTGCACACGGAGGTACCAGAAACGCTTCTTTATTCAAGCCCCAATGTGCAGCAGCAGCCTCCCACCCACAGAAGGCCCCTCCCTCCCGCCCCAGTTTCACCCTGTCACCCCATACTCTCCCCCACCCCAATCAGAAAGGGCACTCCCCCCAACAGGGGTACAGCTTGGCTCAGGAACCTGGGCCCGGCCGAGGCCTGCTTCAGTTTCTGAATTTGCCCACCAGTGGCTTCGAGGGCCAAGACCCCAGGCCCTGCTGGTCCAGGAGGAGGGAGAGCTGCCGGCGAGCCTCCTGGTAGGGCCCAGCCTAGGGCAGGAGATGAGCGGGGTTGAGAAGGGGTGCCTGCTGGGGGCAGGGACGGTAGGACTGGGGACAGACCGGGACTGGGGATGGACCGACCTTGGCAGCCTCGTAGGTCTTCAAGGCCAGGAGGTAGGGCTTCCCCAGAGCCCTGGCAGCCTGGTGAAAGGCCCGGAGAAAGGACGCCTTGCAGAGACGGGAGGGAGGCCCAAGGGTGGCACTGGATGGAGAGAAGATGCCACAGAGATCAGAGGGTACAGGCTGGACCAGCAGGCCTGGGGCACGCCCTGCGCTACCTCCTCTCATACTGTGACAATGTCACAGGAGTCACAGGGCAGGCAGAGGCGTGACCACCACCATGGAGCTAGCAAGGGGTGGAGCTGGGGTTAGAACTGAGGTGAGGAAGCTCATGCACGGAGCCCTCCATCACCAGACCCCTCCTCACTCCAGCCCCAGGGGCCCCTCCTCACTTGGCCTTCACACGCCCCGTGGCCACATCCACAACCTCGATGTCAGGATCCCCCAGGCTCCAGTTGAGGCTCAGGCCATGGCAGGTGTCAGGGCTGGGTTCGGAGGGGGCCACTGGGGGCCCTGCGAACAGGTGTAGGGTGTTTCGGGCGTAGGGAGGTGGCAGGCATGGCCCCAGGGCACTATCGAGGCAGGGCCGGGTGTGGATGGCCCTGCTCACAGTTGGGGGGTCATGGCATGAGTCAGCTGCAGGGCAGAAGGCACAGGACAAGGTGAGTGACCTCCCTGCCCTTCCCTCCCACCCCAGCCCTTGCCACATGCTCACCCAGGACGAGGCTGGTGCTGTAGAGTGGGGACACCAGGTGGGCCAGCAGGGCACCACCCAGCCCCAGCACAGCCCAGCGCGCCAGCTTATCACTGGCTGAGAGGCAGCTGACGTAGGTTTCACGGAGCACGGGTGCCACGTAGCACACAGGCTTCAGCTGCCCGAGCACGTGGGCCTGCAGGCGCATAGGTGGGCTGTGTGGAAGTCCGCCTTCCGAGGTAGGGGGCAGGCTGCGGGCCGGGAGGGGACAGACCCCAGCGTCAAAGCTGCTATTCTGACCCTGGCCCCCACCCAGCAGCCCAACTGAGGGACCCCCATCCCTCGCCTGCCCTGGGAACCCTGCATACTAGATGTCACGGGCCGCGCCCTGGGGGGTGTTGCTGACGTAGAGGTGCAGGAAGACGCGGGGCTTGAGGGCAAATGGGGGTCCAGACCCCGGCTGGGGGGCCAGCACAGACTGCTCCTTGCCCTTGGGTCCCCCACATGTGGCCAGGAGGAGCTGCCGGAACAAGAACCTAGGAGTGACAGGCAGAGGGTGGTTGGCGCGACCATTTCCCAGCGAAAGCTGCTGTCGAGTACCCACCCCACGGCCCCTCACCTCAGCAGGGCCCGGCGCGCGATGACCAGGCCATGGCAGTCATGGAGCTGCTGGCCCGAGAATTCCAACCAGTTGGCACAGCAGCTGCTGCCAGTGCCCAGTGCCACCAGCTTGTAGATCTCCTTCACGTAGCCCCTGGCATCTGGGATCTCTGTGCAGGGAGAGGCAGAGACAGCTCAGCCTGAGGCAGGGGGCCCGAGGGGGCCTTCCCAGGGGGCCGGGGCTAGGACAATTCCTACCCCTCTCTAGGATGACTCCAGCCACAGTCCCTTTACAGGCCCAGTATGGCGAGTGCTCGTCCAACAGGAGATCAAAGCCGGAGCTTACCAAGGCCGCACAACGCTGCTCATGGGTCAGGATGCTCTCTGCGCCAGGGTAAGAGGGCACAGATGGCACGGCGCCCCACGGCTCTCCCCTCAACACCAGAGCCTGGGTCCTTGAGAGCCCACCTACCTATATTCAGGGGGACCGGTGGAGGCTGGCTGGAGGTCTGGGGGGACTCTGGAAGAGGCAAGGAGGGCAGGATGCTGTGAGCGCCAAGGCCCACCCTCCAACCCTCAGGAAGCCAAGGAGGCAGAGAGAGGAAGTTTTCATCTTCCAGACACAGGACATTCCACGAGCTGCTCCTCTAGAAGTCACTATCCCCAGTGTCCACAGAGGACATGAGAGAAGGGACCAGCACATGTTCCCCGCCATGGCTCCCTGCAGGTCAGGTCCTGATGCCCAGATGGTCCCTGCAGCAACCCACCTCCTGCCCACATGCACACGCACAGCCGCTTCAGCCTCCCCGCAGGACTGCCGGCCTTGGGCCTCTTGTCACCAGCTGGGGCTCAGCTGCCTGGCCCTCCATTACCTGGGCTCTCCAGCTGACTCCGGATGTAGCAGAGGGCAGAGAGCGCTGCCTGCTGTGTGGCCTCTGTCTTGCTGTTCGCAGTGCCCGCAGGGCAGACCACCCCATCCAGCTCCGCACTCACAGAGAAGGGGAAGCAGGGACCTGGGGAAGGAGGGGGGTGAGGAAGGAGCCCCCTAGCCTTTGGCCCTGTGACAGGTACCACTCTGCCTCCTCTTGACACCTGACATAAGGTCATACGAGACATAGGGACCCTGACACCCTTCCTCCACGGGCTCCATCACCACCCCATGCCGTGCACACCCTTGAGTGCCTCTGCAGGCTATGACCCATCGCTGACTCAACCAAATCCTCACCCAACTCCTCCGCAACAGGGATGCATGACTCCATTTCACAGAGGAGGAGCACAAAGGGCAGGCAGTTTGCCCATGTAGTGCCAGGACCCATATCCAGGTCCCTCTCCAGAGCCCACGCCACCCTGTTCTCTGGAGGAAGGCTGTGAGTACTTCCACCTGTCACAGACAGATTGGTTTTATTTCCTCTCCTCCAGGGACCCTACATGTGAACGCTTTTTCTATCTAACAGTATCATTTTGGGTGCTACTTGTAACACAAAACAGACAGATGAAAAATCAGGAACTGGGATCACATGGTCAAAGGTACACGCTTACATAAGCTTACAGTACTTGCTGCTAAACTGTTTCTCCCAAGGACTGCCCCTCTGGGGACTTCCCTTGTGGAGGGGAACCCATTTCAGCACTCCTCACTAGCACTGAGACCTATCTGCTCTAAATGGGCATCAAAACCAGCAACCACACACAGGCATGGAAGGAATGTTGGCTTTGGAAAACCAGCACCTGACCACCATCCTAACCTCGACTGAATCTGGGGATAATCAATGCACAATTTTCTAAAACCACAAGTGGCAATGTTATGGGCACAGGGTATCTACAGGATCTCCAAATACCTCCCCTAGATGATTTATTCAACAAAAAGGAGAAAGTGAAGACACCTGGCAGATGCCACCCTAGTCCAACCCCTGCAGCTCACATTGCCAAGAGGACAAACCAAAATCAGCCACCTCCCGATGGGATGCATGGCCAAGGACTCTACATCGCTTCATTAATGCATCACCTGAACTCAGCCCCGAGGAAACAGACAAACCCAAGCTGAAGCACATTTGCAAAACTACCAGCCCTTACTCTTAAAAAACATCAATTTTGTGCAAAACAAAGACAAGAACCCTTTCAGGTAAGAGATTAAAGACACGTGACAGCCAACTGTAATATGCCATACTAGGGTGGGAAAAAAATGGCTATGAGGGCATTCCTGGGACAAGTGGCAAAATTTGAATATGAATAGAAATTAGATACAATTCTATCAATGTTAAATTTCCAGGATTTGATAATTGTATTGCAGTTACAGAAGAGACGCCCTTATTCTTAAAAAATGTGCATGAGGCTGCGTGCAGTGGCTCACTCCTTTAATCCAGCACTTTGGGGGACTGAGGACAGGTGTTCAAGACCAGCATGGCCAACATGGTGAAACCCCATCTCTACTAAAATACAAAATAATTAGCTGGGCATGGTAGCACACATGTGTAATCCCAGCTACTTGGGAAGCTGAGGCACACGAATCGTTTGAACGGAAAGGCAAAAGTTGCAGCAAGTTGAGATCTCACCACTGTCACTAGGTGACAGACTCAGTCTAAAAAAAAAAAAAA